TTTCAGGCTTAGACTGGGCTGAACGGATTCAAATGTCTAATTAGTAAAAGCTGATGGTGCTGGAATGATGGTATCAGTTGCTGGCGAGAATTTAGGTCCTTTCTTTGCTCCTGTCAAACTGCTGTACCTCCACAACCTCCACGCCCACTCATGTGTCTTCCAGTACTTTCTCTGGGGTCTCTCCATCTAAAGCCATCGTCCTAGTTGCCCCTGTCACAACTGTACAGGCAGCAGCATTTCTCCCCTGTCCAGTCATGCATGAGCTATATGATGTTCTGCACTGCTGGTTCCTGCTCCCCCCAACATCAGTGCAGCCACAGATAGGGCAGTCTATAAAGTGGCAATGTCTGGAAACCCCAGACAATCACAGATCAAAACTTTGACCTAAAGACTGTATCCACCTTCACTAATCTTGCCCCAGACTACAAATAAAAAGTGGCAAGATGAGTCTTAAAAACTTTGAAGTCTAACTCTAGAGCCTCCAGTCTTAATTGGCTCTAAAGAACCATGAGTTGGGTGTTATGTGTGTGTATTCCCACAGTGGGACTCTGTGTATATCTATGCACTTAGGTGTTTTGTGCATGTTTCGTGTGTTTGCATGCATTTGTGTGCTGTACAAGTGGATGCACGCATGTGCATGTACCTGGAAGGGGGACTTGTTCTTTTAAAAAACGAGGTCACATTCTTAATCGAGGAAAGAAAAGTGACTCATTTTTGGAAATCTGTAGATGATTTCTGCCTGTATTTTGACACAAAACCCCTGTGTCAAAGTCTATGGAGATAGTTCTTGGAAACATGTATTCTGAAAAAATCCTGCCAAGTAATTGTTTTACCCTCACATAGTTAAGGCCACTACGTTTCAGAAATAGACAGATCTTTCAGTATTACTCAGCAACTTTAGGAATGCCTCTACCGACCATTATTCAGTGCACATTTAGGGAGTGTTATAGGGAGAGAATGTTATGCTCTCTCTTTTTAAAAATAGCCTTACTTGCCTGCAAAACTCACCCATCCTTCAGGAAAAGCCCAAGCGCTGCCTTAGTCATAGGGCCTTCTCTCCTGCTCCCCCAAGGTTAACCTCTCATAAAAAACTAATGTAACTTTGCTTAGCACATTGTCAACAGTGGAAGCTGACATTTACTTGGAGATCATTATGATCCAAGTACTACGCTAAATTATTTATATGCATGGTCAAGTCAATCAGCAATGATGCAGAACAGTGCAGTCACAGCCACTTTGCAGATGAAAATGTTGGAAACCAGAAAGGGTCACAGAGTAACATGCAGAACCTGTCCTCCAACTCCTACCTGACAGCTGTGTGCATCTAGGACACCTTCCTCTGTCCCCAGGAGCGTCTGGCACCACTCACTATGCACTGCTGGTGGGAAGTGACTAGGCAGGATAGTCCTGCATGGGCTGATGAGGATGCACCCAAGTGAGGAGAACCCCAAACTCAAAATGATGAGCCCGTCAGAAGCAACTGCAATGATCAAGGAAAACAGAAAAAAAGTGTATTTTCTGAAGTGGAATTTGTCAAAGTAGGTGATCCAACTTAAAAGGAAGAAGACAAAGGAATAATTAACAATGAGGCAGAGACAGTGTAGACAATAACATAAAAAGAGGACAGACACCTGGGAAGAGAGAGGCAATAACTCATATTTTCAACTAGCAAGGCATTCAAAGTGATTTCTCAAACTGAATTTCAGTCCAGTTATGTTGTGACTTAAGAAATCTCTATAGTATGACTGATGTGGACCCCAGCTGACTCTACTTGAGCTAGAGCACACCAAAAATTATTTACCTCAATCAGAATTCTTAATAACTTGGGTTTCAGTCACTACAAGTGACATCTACAAAGTTGAAAGTGAAAATTCAGATTCTGAGCTCAATAAACAGAGTGGGAAGCCCTGCCCCTGCATCCCAGTAGCCTTAGAGGACACACAGAAGGCAGGACTGGACTCCCCCACAGAATGGGCAGCTTTGGACTGAGGCCTGGTTGTCTGCCCGTTGGCCTGGGGGCCTGGTTTGTGTTCAGCCTATGTGGAGGAGCATTGCGCTGGGAGCTTCATCCTTTACCCAGAAACCTCCCTTGGAAAGCATTTCTCAGGGCCATCTGCACGGCTCGATTCCTTAAACTATAAACAATGGGGTTGAGAAGGGGGGTCACCACTGTGTAGGTAACAGCTATGAGCTGATCCCGATCAAGAGAGTAGCTGGCTTTGGGCCTCAAGTACATGAAGGAAGCACAGCCATAGTGGATAAGGACCACGATGAGGTGTGAGGCACAGGTGGAGAAGGCCTTCTTCCGCCCCTCAGCAGAGGGGATGCTCAGGATGGCTGCCAGAATGTAGGCATAGGAGAGAGTGATCAAGGAGAAGGAGACCAGAAGCACCAGCAGGCTGAGGATGAAGATCCCCAGCTCACTCAGGCCCGTATCATCGCAGGCCAGGTTCAGCATTGGTGGCGTGTCACAGAAGAAGTGTTGGATCTCATGGGAGCTGCAGAAAGGGAGGTGGAAAATGACCAGGGTCATTCCCAGCCCAAAGAGGTACCCACTCAAAAAGGAGATGCCAACCAGTTGGGCACAGAGGGTGGGATGCATGAGGTTGGCATAGTGCAGCGGAGTGCAAATGGCCACATATCTGTCAAAGCCCATGACAGACAGGAGGAAGCAGTTGGTACAGGCCCATGAGGCTGAGAAGAACATCTGGGCAGCACAACCCACAAAGGAGATGGCCTGGTCCCCCATGACCAGGCCGGAGAGCATCCTGGGGATGATGCCCAAGGTGTAGCAAGTTTCAGAGAAAGACAGAAAGGAAAGGAAGAGGTACATGGGGGTGTGCAGATTGCTGTTGAGCCTGATAACAATAATGATAAAGATGTTGCTGCTCAGGGTGATGAGGTATAGAGAGAAGAACAATGCAAAAAGCAGAAGTTGCAGCTCCCCAAAGCTGGAGAAACCCAGAAAGATGAAGCCCCTCCAGAAGGTTGCATTGGTTGAGCTCATTCTGAATGACATCCTTGATAGACCTGCTGGTTCCTTGCACCTTGCCAGTGGATGTCCAGCTCTTTCAGAAGGCAGGATAAGGAGGATCTTGTTTCTTTATGCCTGTTATAACTTTAAAAGGAACTCTGATTTAAACAGTTATCAAACTTCAGTAAGGTATTTGTTACATTGCATCCTGAACTAGACATGTCCTTCTCGTATGTATGCTTGTTGTATACGCAATATCATACAAATGCCCACATGACCACACAGATGCAGACACCTGTATACACATCATATGTGTACACGCATGTCATATACAAAGCACTCACATGTAATTTTGTATATGCAAAAACATGCACTGCACATTAGGGACTATATCCACAGGTATATTAGACATGCACATATAAATGTACATTACACTTAGGTAGCACATAAATGTGTACATATATGCTCTACACATCCATTCATGCCAACTTCACACATCACTGCTGCATAAGCTTGCATACAGGCATGTGGACACATACTCACTGTTAAGTGAGTGTTAAGGTGGCTCCTCAGTAACATCTTTGAAGATACAGGACCCAACACAACAATGGTGAAGGCAAGGATAAACAGATGGGACTACATCAAGTTAAAGAGCTTCTGCACAGCAAAAGAGACATTACAAAAAACAAACAGACATTCTACTGATTGAGAAAAAATTTCTCACACAAAACTGGCGATAAAGGATTGATCACAAAGATATACAAAGAACTGATGAAATTCAACAAAAATAAACAACCCCATCAAAAAATGGGCAGAAGAGCTAAAAAGACACTTCTCCAAAGAGGAAATGCAGATGGCCAACAAGCATATGAAAAGATGTTCAACATTACTTGTAATAAGGGAAATGCAAATTAAAGCCACAATGAGATACCACCTCACCCCCTTGAAAATGGCACATCTTAAAACAACTAGCAATAACAAATGTTGGCAAGGATGTGGAGAAAAAGGAACTCTCCTGCACTGCTGGTGGGAATGCAAACTAGTACAACCACTATGGAAAACTGTTTGGAGGTTCCTCAAACTGCTAAACATGGAGCTTCCATATGACCCAGCAATCCCATTCCTAGGTACCTATCCAAAAGACACAAAAACATTGATTCAAAAAGATACCTGCTCCCCCCTGTTTATTGCAGCTTTATTTACAATCAGAAAGACATAGAATCAACCCAAATGCCCAAAAGTAGATGACTGGGTTAAAAAGATGTGGTACATATACACAATGGAATATTATTCAGCAACCAGAAAAAATAAACACAGGCCTTTTGCAGAAACATGGATGGAGCTGGAAGGGATCATGCTTAGTGAAACAAGCCAGAAAGAAAAGGAAAAATACTGGATGGTTTCACTCATAGCAGGAGTATAAAGGACGAGGGGAAAAAATAATAATGATGAACAACTATATATACCAAAGACATTGGTAGAGTGGGGAATGGGATAAAAAACAGGGTGGAGGAAGTACATTGGACTATGGTGATGGCACATGGGTGATTTAGTGATGGGAAGCCCATGGGGATTACAACTGAGATGGAAAAAGGCACAAAATGATGTAAAAATAAACTTATATTATTTAAAAAAAAAACTTAAGGTGGCTGACTTGATGGCTATTATTTAATATAACAGGCAACAAAACCAAGAGGAAAGAGACTTGTTTTAAGTCACATAGAGTCAAGGCTAGAGAATTAGTATCTTGAGTCCTAACCTTAATTTTTGTTCCCACCTAATCATGAGTCTTCTTAGACACTGCAGAACACTCACTAACATGAATACAGAACAGCTTGCTCAGCAGTAATTCCTAGCATTTATACAAACCAACAGAAGCACTTGTACACACAAATCTACACTAAGCACTGAAGAAAGATTCTGGGCTCAGGCCAACTTGTGTATCCTCCTGCCCAAAGGGCAGTCATTGGCTCTACTACCTCCAAAGAATCTGCTGTGAACCAAGGTTAAGGAGAGGTTCACTCACCTGAAGAGGCTTACCAGGAGGCCAGTATCCATGGACCAGACTGTCTCCACAGACTTGCCTACAAGACAAAGAAGCAGAGATCCACCTCAGAAATTTCTATTCTGAGCAAAGATGGTGTTCACAATGACACCAAGAAGCCTCTTCCATAGCCTGCCCCATGAGATGGATCCTATCTGCTTCTTCAAAACAGCTTCTCTCTCAGGGGATTCCCCATTCCCAGGGGCTGCCCTTGCCAGAAGTACATCTAATTATGCTTATCATTAACTCAGAATATCCTTTTGGTGGAACCAGAAAAGGGAATGTAAACAAAGAATGCTAGGACCATGATTCAAACAATAATTTGTATACCTGTTATGTATCAAATGTGATATTAATTACTTCCACCTGCAAAATCTCTTCTAAAGCAATGACCTAGTTAGAAGGTATGAAGAATGGCATTTTACAGAAAGGAAGACAGACTGGTAGAGTTTAAGTGAACCAGTCCAAGATCTCGGAACTCAAAGCTTATGCTTTTAAATTCACACTACACAGTAAGAAAATAGGAACTCACCCTCCCTACAATGATCTCACGAGCTTGGGGTGACCATCCATTTCAAATCACACACACATTCATACTCACATCAGAATCCCATACCTCTTTGTTTCAATTTCTCCCTGCATCCTCCTGTTTATCTAGTCCACTTTTTTCAGATCTTATCTTCATTTTTCCCATTCTTTCCACTATACTGCAATATTCTACACCCAGATTTCCAATCCACTTCCACCACTCATCTTGTCTTAAAACCTGGGAATGTCAGAAAGTTCACCAGTCTCATCACTGGGTCTAATTCTTCACTTGCAACATGAATTCTTCTCTAGATACTAACAGTGTGAGTACTTGCATCTCTGATATATCTATCTCCATTCACTGATTCAAAGGAAACAATAATGATACTGTTAACCTGCATTCAGCAAAAGACATTACATTACATGAATTTAATGCTCACAATATTTAAAGATTATGACTGTTACCCTCTTTTTCCAGATAAGAAAACAGATGCATGAAAAAACTGTGTAACTTACTGAAGATAACTCAACCAGTTAGCAATACAGTGGCAAGTGTATTGCCTTCACCCCTATATCATGTCTGGTCCCTGCATCACTTAGGAATATACGAAAGATGTGGAAACTAGAATAACATTAGTATGATTATTTGCTTTATAGCTATTTCCTTGTACCTTCATTTTATTTGTTGTTCTAGAATTTATACCACACATTTTTTAATAATATAGCAGTTTATTTTTACATTTTGTGCCTTTTTCCATCTTAGTTGTAATCCCTGTGGGCTTCCCATCACCAAATCACCCGTGTATACCACACATTTTTAACTTAACCTACTCTATTTAAACAATGTTGAATTATTTCCAATAAAACACCAAAAAATTTACATGTTATAGCCAGCATGTTATAATTTTTTAATTAAATATGTGCTTTTTGAAGAAATAAGAGAAAAATGACCATATACATTCAATTTTCATTTTCTTTCCTATATATCCAATTTATCACAGGTTTTACTTTGCTTCAAGCTGAAAGGCTGTCCTTAGCATTTCTTAGAGTACATGTCTGCTAGCAATAAATTATCTCCATCTGTGTATCTGAAAATGCCTACAATTTGCCTTTATTTATGAAACATAGATTTGCCAGATCAAAAATTCCTTGTAAATGGTATATTTTCATATTTCAGTATGCCACTTTCAATGTGTTCATCTGCAATAGTTTCTGATGAGAATTATATCTTTCATGCATCGTAATTCCACACTCTACACATGAAAGTTCTTCCTGCTGTTTCAATACTCTCTGTCTTTGGTTATCAACAATTTGATGATGATATGCTCAGAGGGATTTTTGTTTCTCTTATGGTTTGGTGAACATTTCGTATGCATAAGTTATCATCTTCTACTGAGATTGGTAAGGCTTGAGCTACTTTTTCTTTAAATATTTTCTTTTGCTTTATCTTGTGTTTCTTTTTTTATTTCAATTGCATATATGTTAGGCCGCATAATATGTCTCAGAATGCTTTTAAAATATTCATTTTGTCCCTATTTTCTCCTCGAAGAGTCAAATAATTTCTATTGAACTATTTTCACATTCACTGAATCACTCTTCTATAAACTCCCAAGTGGTATAGCACCCATTTCATAAATCTTTCATTCAGTTGTTATAACTTTACGCCCTAGATTTCCAAGTCTTTCCATAGCTCATTTCTCTGGTAATATTTTTATCTGTTCACACTTTAATACTATATTTCTCTCTCCCTTTTTGAAAATACTAATGATGCCTGTTGTGAATACTGAAAAGTCCAATTGTGGATTCATTTGCAGTCAACTTCCACTGCCTGGTTTTTTGCCTGTGTATGGATTTCATTTTACCGATTTTTTTGCACAAGAAGACATTTTTGTCTAGTACGCAGTTCCCTATCCTGAAGTGAAAGTGCAAAGTACCCCTCACCTATTATTTGTAGCGGTCGATGCCCCTATTCAAATTGTCTTTGGCTTTCAGACTGCTTTTATTTTCTGCCTGGCTTCCTGGATGTCTCCATTGTACACACACAATTTAGTTGTCAGCAAATATTTATGTGAGACTTTCCTTCCTCCCTCTGAAATGTCCTGTTGTTTTGCTATTACTGATTTCTGCTAGCTGACAACTCAAGCCAGTATGGAATCCTTTTCTGGCTCTTAAATCACAAAAGCAATTCAAGCACAGGAACCTCAGCCACACCTTTCTGTGTTTCCAAATGCACTGCTCTTAAATTTGTGCACATCTCCCTTCCACTGAGCCATCAATGAGGCTTTGAGCAGAGAGGATACTCAGACTAGGTGTTTCAGCCCTTCGGTAGCTGAAGGGCTGGTAGCTCATTTATAAAATTTCCTTCTAAAACTTCCAATTTTGTTCTATCTAAACTCTATGATCTGCCCCTGGGTAGGTGGGGTATGTTTGAACAGCTCCTAAGCAAAGTACTCCAGTTGGGTCATTTGATGTCATGTGATTAAACTAGTGCTATTTTAAGATTAGCTATTTCTCAAATTTCTGATTGGCTTATGTCACTTTCCAGTGACTTGTAATGATAGATTTTACTGTTGTTATCCATATTTGAGCATTTTTAGCTATGAGAAAGGAATTACTGGATCCTTTCAGACCTTTATTAATTCCTCCTCTTCTGTTTCATACCCAGTGACCCCATTCACCTTATTTCTGGTTAAATAATCTACCCTGGATGGATACCTCCATCCAGGAAGGTCCCTGATGTTAGCTGGACCAATTGAAGTAGTTCCATCTGTGGTTGCAATAATTGGTACAAATGATGTGGAGATGAATAAAGTTTCTATTCTTTCATTTTACATAACTTACGATCAAAGAGGAAACACAAGAACAATAAGGAAACATTTCCACTTTAATGAAATGAAAAAAAATTTCTTACAGTTGTGAAATGTAGATAAATTATTTAAGAGCAATTTTTTTCATTTAAGTTCTTAATTTAAAATAAATTATTAAAATCATGATTTTTTTAATTAAGCATTCAATTTTTAAAAAAAAGAGCTAAAATTAACTCAAAAGGAGGATTACAAAAACATAATAAAGGCATGACTAGTAAATAATAAAATAAAATAAATTTAAGTCGTGCAATACCAAAATTTGGGTCTTTAAAACTGGATAAATTCCAATAAGATTAATCTGGATTAAAGAGAAAAGATTTGCAAAAAGCAGAAACAGGGTGGGAACTACAACTTGGTGGAACAGCTGGCTTTGGCCAAGTCTCCCCTGAGCACAACCAAAACATAACTATTATCCACATGTAAATCTCACCAGTTCTCACCAAAATCATTGACCGATTCATGCATCCTCCCAACCCCACCCTGGATGGTCTCTGGGTTATTCACTTAGGTAGTGGAGAAGGGAGCTGGGAGGGAGGGCGCTGTGCCTGAGGGGGTGGCCATTCCTGATGGAGGCGCAAACTGGGCAGAGGGGCATGCTATGTTATGCCAGGACTGACACAGGTGCTACCGTGAATGTGCAAATGCCAAGATGCTTGCTGAGTGAGGCCGGAACAGAGGCGCGGTCGTTGGGTGTTGGGTTGGAATAGCATGAGCAGCCATAAAGCCCTTGCCTCCACCACTCAGGAACTGAAAGTTGGGAAGAGGTGAAGAGAACCCTGCTAAGCCTAGAGAGAAAAATCACTGTGAGTCACGTGGACCGGTGATGCTGATCAGGGAGCTGGAAAGCAGGTCCAGGCAAGCACTGGAGCTCGTTCTGGTCGTGGAGAGAGGAGTGGTGGCACAGGTGGCCCATGATTGGCATGCCCTCGCCCACCTTAACGCTCTGAGCTGTATCACTGAGGCATTTGGACTCCTATTTCTGCGCACCCTCACCTCCTTGATAAATAAGGAGACCAAAACTAAAGCCACAGCTCCGCCTACTGGGAGAAAAAGAAGACAAAACACTTGTGTAGGGAAATTCTAACTCGGCAGCATAGCATGGCAACGTTGATAGAGAGGTAACATTCCAGACCAGATTTTATGACTCGGAATTAGAGGAGCTAACAGACCAAGATTTTAGAAGAACATGCATGAAGAAACTCAATGAATTCTAGATTCTCAATTAATTGCAGAAAGGTAAGTTCAGGGAATCAGGAAAGATAACCAGGAGCACAGAATTTTTATCAAATTTATCAAAGATAAAGATTTGAACATCAAACCTGAAAACATAAATTCTGTAGAAAAACAGCCAATATGTTCTTGGAGATAGACCTTAGAGGAACTGCTTTTACACTTTTCACTATGGATGCAGAAAACAGTATGCAGTTGCCTTTACTGACCATGTACTCTATACGAGACGCTTTGCTAAGAATTTTATAAATAGCTTATTTAATTATCTTAATAATACAATGAAGTGTCGCTCCCTGGTGACGCAACAGATAAGGACGCAGCACTGCAAGCTGGCCGCAGCCGCTTCTGAGAAAGTTCCATCCCCAGCCCCAGCAGAGATCCACCTGGCACAGCAGACTTGTCCTGACCAGCCCGCTGCTCCCCTCAGCAGTGTACTTCGT